TGAGATTAAAGCACACTGTAAATGTGTTGCTTCTTTAATGAGACCATACCCATGTGTCATGTCTATCACCCGCAGGAGAATCATGTCAACACGGTGGCAGATTTCATTGGCACTAATAATTATAATATCTGCTCGCATGCCTCAGTCCATTTCAACAGGCAGAATAACAGGTTTGAGGGTATGGGGGTGATTCTCTCAAGATGAAGCACTCACGATGAGAGGTTTATCATCCACACACGTACAGGTCTGTTTGAGACACCTCATATCAGCTCTGGAGATAGAAACACGAAGGTCTCAAATTACTTTAACACCACTAGAATTCACAAGGGACTGTAACACAAATGGATCTAAATGGAACCAGCATGACTCAGTGAACCATGTCATTAGCTCACAATGGAAAATTATGAATAATATGACTCTTTGTAGTTAAAAATTCAGACCGAAAGTGTGTGAGAGAGGAATGTTACTGAAAAAAGGGGAAAGAACAGTGTGTTCTCACACACAGTTCACGCAAATAACATGAAGGCACTCAAATGTTTTCGGATCTCAATTGACTTTTTACTTTAAGCAATAAAATCCCTAACCTCTGCTACTGTCTATCAAGCTTTATAGCATTTCAACTGATTTAGTCTTCATCCAAGTTTGGTCTAACACAACAGATCTTGTGCTTTGGCCAATAATAACAAGGTTTCAATAATGACAAGGCACATGATCATTGTATATGTATTCCTATAATTCATTTATCCTCATTCATTCCATAATGTTTGATATTACGGTCCTGTACTTTCCAATTTCACTAAAGTATGTGTTACACGAGTGATAGAGTGTCATACTAAATTCTTCTGCTTTACATAATCCACACGCTCAACAGGTCTGGCTCTGGTTTGGACTTATAACCTACACCGCTTGTTTCAGGTACAGAAAATATATTTGTGGAAACCACACACACACACACGCTGATGAAAAAAACAAACCATATGATATAGGTGTGTGTGTGTGTGTGTGTGTATATGATTGACAGCCCTGACAGCCCTGACAGTTTTGTCAGTTATAAGATTCAGAGGTGGGCATTTTGATTGATGCAGCCAAGCAGGCAGGCTGGTCAGTCAACACTGACATTATATATGCACACACGCACGCACACCATCCTAGATTTCATATTAAATAGCTAAGAATAACACAATAATTTGTAGTTTATGGGTGTTAAACATATTTCAAACATGCTATAAAGCAGGTATGTATATGGAGAAAGAAAAGCAAACATAACTTCTGTGCTAAATAATATAATTTATTCAACTGATCTCACATATGTTTACAACTATACTTTTTTAGACACTGCATGAAGAAATAAATAGCTGTAACTTCACTGTCAACAAACATTTTCATCGCTGCATTTAAAAGTAGACTAATTTGTATGGTTTTTTTTTTGGTATATACATTTATCACACAAAAATACAGCATCACTGCAATTTACAACACAGAGTCACAGATGTGTCAGTGTGACAACTGACATTGATTCTTTTCTGTGTGTACAGCTTTATGGATGAACCGAAGCTACGACAACACTCATTATCTGATGGGGAGGAAAGTTTACATTCACATTTAAGTCCAATGCCAGCGCCTGAGACCTTGCATAGCATCAGAGCAGCAGTCACTCCCTTCAGTTGGAATCTGACGTCATCTCAACAACAGAACATCAATCCCAGAACTGTATTTAAAAGTGAAGGGAAGGGGACACGATCAGGTAGGGATTATTTTACCGAACCTAGGCAGGTCTGTCCACATACAAGGATCAAATCCCCTTCTCTCCCTAGCTGTGGAAGAAATAACTACAAGGCCATCTTACAACCTTAAAGAATAAGGCTGTTGTTTCACTTGATTTTTCTTACTGTCACCAAATCCATTAAAAAAAACCAAATGAACATTGAAAAGATCCCACTAATACAGCATATAAAGTATTTTCTCTGTAGCCAAAGCTTCATAGGCCCATATCTTATCCCTCTGTGCCAAAGAGGTCATTAATGCCACCAAATGTGAATTAATCCACATGTGGAAATAGTCCCCAACAAATGTACCATTGACTCCTGGTTGAGTAAATTTTCTGAGATCTGGTGCTTGACTGTGTTTGCTCTGTCTGGAAAAAAGATATTAGATATTAGGGACACGTTTTAAAAGATTTTATTCCTTGGGGATGGATCGGCTATAATGGCTGAGTGTCGCGGAGATGCACATTGTTGTTTTTGGTCATAATTGATTTTAACTGTTGACAATAAATAAAATACAGTATATTGTGAGCCTTATCTTTGAACTGATCAACTGACTTTAGAATGAAATTATCACTTTTGCAAAAATGCTAATTTCTTACTGCTAATCTTTAAATTAAGGCAATTCCATAGATTAAAAAAAGACGACAACAAACGACAAAAGAGAAAAGACAAATAGAAAATTCATCTGGAAAAGAGTAAGACTTAAAAATGACAAAAATTCTTATATAAAATAACAACTCCTTCACATGACAGCAGTGCGTCTCATAGTGTAAACCAGCCAGATCTATGACAATGTTAAGTGGTAAGATGTTAATTAATTAATAACCTTTCAACTTGTCATCACTGTGTATAACACACTGTAAAACCAACCCTGGAAATATAGTCTCGAACCTCTTTGCTGCATTAATCAAATGTCCTGAAAGCTAATTGATTTGGGACTGGATCGATAATGACCGGTGCTACTGACACTATCCTAGGAGGAAAAATCATTTCCTATCTACACTAACCTGCTGTGGCTGCCCAGTCAGTAAAGATTAAGGAGGAGCAAACACATTATTATACGCACATGCACACCGGCATATTTCAAAAAAGGTTTTGTCAGATAATTTTACATTGGTTCTTTAAAATAATCATTGCATATCATGTAATAAGGTACATTTACTACTGTCCAGACAACAATTTGGTTCCATTGAAGTATATCTGAAAATGAACTTCAATCACCATGTGCTTTTATTGTTGTTTTGTTACTGTTACGACAATGAGGCTACAAATGCATATTAAGATGTCTGCAAGTCTGACAAAAACAAAGACTGCAAAGAGATTCTCAATTGGGATGCTTAAAAAATGAATGGAGGCAAATGGCTGTCTGGAAGGTACACATGAAAAAATAATAAACCCTCAATAAAACTATGGCATGATTTATTTTTGAAATATTTAACTATTTTAATGAAGCCGAGGCTTTGATGGTGCCAAATTGTGTTTGACTTTGAGTCTAGAAAGTTGGGTTTGTGTCCCATCTTAAATCAACATGTACTGATTACTTTTTTAGGGTTTAACAATGTTTGACAAGGACACAGTCTAATCAATATTCAGTGGGTCTAATAAATACTTGTCTTTCATCTCATTCTTTTGGTTCTTTAGTCCACAACTTTCATCAACATCATTGCAATGTGCAGAATGCAGCAGTTTTCCTCTATAAGCTCTATTAAACCCAATGTACACCACCTCCCAAATTTATCAACAAGCTGGTTAACACAATGGAGCTCTGCTAAAAATCTATCTCCGTAGTTTGTAGAGAACAAAACTGAGATAAAAGTGTTAAAAGTTGTCTTACATTCTTCAGAAAGACACAAACACACTTTAAAAGGAATGCTTATCTTACTCCATATGTGCTGTGAGTATAAATAAGCAACTCTCATAACTAATTTCGGCATACCAAACTTATTAAGGTCACTGATGAATTTACAGGTCGTTGTGCTGCCTACATGAGGTTAATTAATAAAAGTAGGCTAAACTTTGATCATACCTCAACCTAAAAGTGAGCACTATGTGGACCCTGGTCTACTATCTCTGGGCTACAATACTATAGCTGCAACATGTGGATGGTGTTAAAAAATTTACATTTAAAAAGATTTGCTAGTGAATAATCTAAAATGTTGCAACTGAACGTAATCTGGGATTTTGCAGAAAATCAACTGAGTATCAATCTTCTGCTTGGTAAGTGCAAGGTTTGGGATTATCATGGGGTACGTGGTTCTTTATTTGACGAGCGAGTACATCAGGAGGCTTCAGAGCAAGGTTAACACACACACCATAAATTCAGCAAAATAATCCACTCATCTAAAAATTAATGCATGTTTAGAATTCTGTATCTATCTGTAAAACATAGATCCAAAAATATTATTGCTCTGTTAATAAATTTACTCAACGCAAACTCACAACTCAGTCTAAAAAGAAAAAAGTTTCTGTCGGATTCACTTGATGCCATTTTTGAAGCAGGAGAACACATTCACATGTACATCAACACACACGGACAGCTATGTGGACACAATGCCTAGGTTAGATATTGCACAATTCTCATGTCGCACTGCAAACATTTGTAGACCCTCATATAGGCTTTCTGTATCTTCCTTATCAGAGTTCCTCTGATTACTATAGCAGCACTTAAATTAAAATTATTGTTGTGGTTTTGGATTGACAGTCATGATAAGAACACAACACTGAGTATGGTATACTTAACACAGCTGATTGACAGTCTATCTTCTGTTTCTGGGCAAGGAATGTCCAAAAAAGAAGGAGGCACCACGTCATCAGCATAAAACAAACTTGTTGAGTCACTCGAAAGCCAGAGCAGATTTCTGCTGATTCAGCTTTCAGTGCGGCAGTAGCAAGTTTCCTGAAGTATGTTGATGCCTCTTTGACAATTCCTTCTTCTTCATATTCCTTGGTTCTAGTTCCCTCGTGCATTTGTTGTCTAGTCATGGTGAAAATCCTCTGGACTGGATGCCCCATCATCACTGAGGATCTCGGTGTTGGTGAAGGTTCCAGCGAGTGACACACTCAGTGCCTGCTTGACGGGAGCCATCTCTGAAAGGATGATGTTGTCATGGTTGCTTACCAACGTAGCCTTGTCCATGATCTCCTTGCTATGCTTGGACACTACAGCATCCAGGAAGTCGTACTTGTGTGACAGCATACCACTTTCAAAAAGGTACTTTGTCAGGTAAGAAAAGGCCACATTCGCCAAGAAGGATGCCGCCATGGACATAGTCTTGAATGGAAACTTCTGCTGGACAAAGTACTCAACATTACCAGTGAGGTGGTGTACCTTCTCCTGTTTAACCCAGCCAGGGTAGAAGATGAAGGGAGGGAGTTTGAGGTAGGGCTCCCCTCCACCAATGCGTAGCAACAGACCAAAGACATAGCCAGCCACAGAGCCATAGGTATTAGTGCCCTTGACAAATAACACACTGAGAAGTTGGGGAAAGATGATGACATAGACCAGGTCGGAACTGAGGTACCACAAGCCATATACTGATCCAGTCAACAATGCCATAGCAGTGGCGAGAGCGCCGAATACAAAGATGGTGAAGCGCATGACCCAAACAATTTCACGATCTGAGGCCTGTAGGAAAGAAGAAAAGGACGACAGAGTGAAGAAGGAGGAATAAGATGAAGACAAGATTAAACCAGGATGTATGACAAGAGACACGAATAGACCCAAATGTCTATCAGGATCATCTAGTACCAGTGTCATGTCATTCCTGATACACGATAGATGTGAAATTTGAGTTATTCCCTTTAATATTGGCAGGGTGTGTATACGCAGTATTCAAGCAAGCAATCCAAGACAACACAAATGATCCTGTGGCCAAACTCGACATGAAAATGTACTTCGTATTTGGTGTGAACACAGCTTTTGAAGCCCCAGGTCTGGGGCTTGGTTTTGTATGTTACACAAACAGTAATAGCAATTTAGATTCAATTTGCACTGCTGTGTATTTTTGTTTTCAAAATCTGACACACTTGGGATGAAAAGATGATTGATTTATTGATGTTTAAACTATGCATATGAGTGCTGGTATTTTTTGTTGGCACTCTTACCGACTGCCGGAAGGCGAGCTGATAGATGTTCCTGGCAAACATGGAGCTGGCTGAGAGAATAGATGAGTCCGCTGACGACATGACCGCAGCTGACACCGCCCCCAGACCAAAGAAGGAGACGTAGGATGGGCATAGGTGCTGCAGCACTATGGGTAGGATCATGTCTGATTCTTCTTTATCCTTCGGAGGGAGGGAACCGTAAGTAGTTTGGTTCCAGTCTGAAGAAATATTGTGAAAGTTGGAAATGGAAATGTCAAGGCCTATTGTAGCACCTCTTATCATTGCAATCAACCTCTGCATTCAAGTATCAGGATTATCTAGTACCAGTATTTGCCTGAATGCCATGCTGAACAAAAAAATACAGCAACATGTATAACACAATACTGCTTTAAGTGGAGACTGATTAGTGTATTAAAATGTCTGTCCTAATCCCTTACAGTTTTTCAGACAAAAGGCTACATTTTGAGACCTTATTATAATGCACACTGTAAATTGTCCTTAACAATAAAAGGGCTTCACGTGTTTCTGTGCTAAAATACAGCTGTGATTATAATATCAGGCTGGGCTTTCTGCAATAATAAAAGGGAAATGTTGAGATAAGAGCAAAGTCAGAATAGATACTCATTGGTTCACAAATGATCCGACAGGCCCCTTAAAAGCACAAAACATGCAACAGTGTTGCAGAAGACATTAGTTTAATTACATTTTAATTGTAAATTTGATTAATAATCATTGCATTAATGATGATTAATTTCTGCAGCAAGCCATTGATTCTAATAAAACACTGATAGCTGATTAAATACAGAATAGGGTGAGGATGAACATCAGAGGAAACACTGAATTTTGGAAAATGTGTCATTTTAAACCTTTTTGCATTTGTAAAATTATTATTTTGAATACTCATTAGTGACCAATAGTTTATAAAGACTGACTTTAATAAGACATGATGCACATGTATTGTTTTTTTCACATTTTCGGAGTAATGCAAAACTCAAATATGTCAGAACATCAAACTCACTAGTTTTCCAATCCATTTGTTCTCATTTCCCCCTTTTGCATTTAAACCCTCTAACATCCTTCTATCTTTCTGCCCCCTTTTTCCAACCTTCTCTCCATCCTTGAAATTTACATAATATCAATCCGTGTCTTTTCCTCCCTCCCCTGTTCCCCCTATTCGCAAGCAGCAGATGATTAGTGTCGGTTATACATGAAACAGCCTCAGATGGACCAGATTAATTAGCACCTCTTCAGATGTAATATTCACTATATCAGCATGGTCTGATGACTCTGCCCGTCGTGACTGTATCCGTCTGCTGTTGTTTACCCTCCAGATACTGTATGCATCTGCATTTACACATCTGAAAAAAAGCTGCTGGGGTGTAAACAACCCAGGGAGGCACTGCTTTGATCAAACTTTCTGATTTGAATAAAGGATATGAATCCTGGAAGTTTCGATTGTCTTGTGATGTTTCATTAACGGCTTAATCAATGCGTGTGTCTGTGTATATATATATACGTACTGCAGCTTGAAGTGTAGTCATGCATGTGTATGTGTGTGTGTGTGTGTGTGTGTATGTATTTACCGGTGGAGGCCCCTATAGCTCCTATGAGGACAGAGGGGACGGCCATGACCAAGCAGCCGAAGGCGGCGAGGAAGGAAAGGACCTGGGCGTAGGTAGCTGAAGAGGCAGAAAGAACCCGTTGAAAATAGACCTGCCAGGGAATCCCCCCCAACATCTAGAAACAGAAACACCATAGTAAATACAGACACCAAACCAATGCACATCAGTCAGCTACACTACCAGCAACACAGATCTTCTAAGTACGGAACAGCTTTGAGATTTTCTAGATAATAATGTTGATAACTTGTCTGTGCTTAAATTCCAACTTCAATACTTCATTTAACCCCCTCCCCTGTTGCACTTGGCAGTTTAAGAGGAATCAAATTGTGTATGCAGTTTACTTTACAGTGATATACTGCGTCTTCATGTATCTTCTTACCAGCAAACAGAAGTTGTCGGCCCAGAGCCATCTGTCCTCTGGCTCAATCTTCCCCAGCCAGGGTGACTGGTAGATTGCTTCTTTGGCTGAAACACTGATGTCTGACACAGCGGGATTGGACAGGGCAAAAGGCACGCTGATCCACTGTTGGAGAGGAGGGTATGAGAATACAAATACCATTTTAGTTTTAGCAAAATACTTAGATTTTAACATGGTTCTCTGACAATGGATATTCCTGCTTCAGCAAATCAGTGTTTTTCTGCTAATATGTCATTGAGATGGTTATTTTGTATCTTTTTATGCATGAAATTTGTCAAATAAACATCAAAACAACTTCACAATTCAAGATGAAAAAAGCACCTCTTTGTGTAACTCTTGACTTTCTTTGTAAATTGCTAAAAACCCGTGGCTTTCACTCCATCTATCTGGCATATCACATTTGGGGTAGACATTGATCTCAGTAAAACTCACCAAGCCTAAAAAGATACAGAAGAGCTGGACCACATCTGTATATGCTACAGAGTAGAGTCCTCCAACAAGCGTGTAGAAGATCGCAATCAGTGCTGAGATCACCACAGACATATTTATGTTGATGTCCACGATCACGCTCAGTGTGGCACCTGCAGGGCAACACATTCAGTTCAGCAAATACAGTCACTGACTTCACAATGAAATCAAAGTGATGCAAACAATGACTTGAGACATTTAAAGTTAGTTTAGGGTTTGATGATATTTAAGAGTTCCTACTCAGAGACCACCTACCCAGGGCAGATAAAATGGCTGCAGACCAGAAGATTTCTCCCATCAGTGCAGGGATGAAGAGCAGGCCCCCCATCCGTTTTCCATACAGCTGCTGGAAGGGATCCAGCATGGTGACATAGCCGCGTGAGCGCATTGGTTTGGCAAAGAAAAGCCCACCTGAATAATGTCAGACATTACATGAGGCAGAGAAATAGCATAATGAATGATTTGAGAAAGTCTTCAACAATGTCTAAAGCAGTACAGTTTGATGCAAAGTATATATGTGGTGTGTTTGGCATGTTTTGCTTCATCTAGTATGGTTCTATAAAAAACCTTTTCACATTTGCAGCATCTCTGCATTCTTACATTGCACTTGGTTGTGTTTTACGCACTGCCTTTGTACGGTATAATTAAGGAGATTGTTTCTTACCTACTACCAGGCTGAGAGCATAACCAAAGGGTGCCTGTGCCCAGGCCAGGCCATAGTCTGGCAGGTAGACATACTCCGCTGTCCCATTGATGTAGCCCCCACCCACCCAAGTGGCTGCAACCAAGAAAAATAGAAACACAAGTATATATTAAAAAGAGATTCTACCTTTTCCAGAAACGGTCTTTAATGAAATGTTAGTGCTTGTTATGTTGCATTAATTCTGTAAGTGCGTTGAAATGTAATGAATGCACTGCAGTAATAGATCACAGGGTGTTTGTGGCTCCAGTGCTGTCCGTGAGTAAAAGACGAACTTGATGAAATGTATTGTCTCATATAACACCCAAATATGACATAATGCACACACAGACCAATGTCAGCTCCCTCCAACAAACTAATATTTTAAAAGTCTACCCAGAGTTAACAAACGCACCGGTCATTGTGAATCCACCGACGAACAATCCGATGTCCCTTCCCCCGACCATGATGCTCTCGCTCCGCTCTCCGCCATCGCCAACTCCAGAGTTCTTATTCTTCCACGCGGCCCAGATCCCCACGAACAGGATCAGCATATAGAAAATAACGATAGCCACGAGACCCTCGGCGTGGATGGCCATCTTCCCTCCGTCCGCGTCCTCCCGCCGAGATCAAGTGCTAGTCCGCGCGGAGGACTGGAATCTCATGGAGAGAGCTTTGTAAAAAAAAAAAGTAGGTGAAACATTTCTCAAGACTGTTTTCCAAAATCACAACTACAATGGAAGCCTCATCTTAAACGTTTATCAAGCCTATAAACAGACACGTTGTAATTACAGTGCCTCGATACGCATCACATGGAGCACATTTCTAAACTCGAAAAGGAATAATCAACTTTAAAACACTGCAGTTTCCTAAAAACTACAGGATTGACTTTTTACTCAGTTAAAGGTTCGGAA